GGACTTTTTATTTTCCTCAGCTAGCCCTTTTCCTTCCTCTTCTTTCTTTTCTTTTTCTTGTGCATTTTCTTCTCCCCCCCTCCTCCCATTTTCCCTCCTTTTCCTGCAAACCTCCTGCCCTGGGCACATAGGTCCCCTTCATAGACTCTTCCACCTGTCCCAGAGGCATGAATGTAACCTGGACTGTCCCTTGCTTCTTCCCCCCCCCCATCACCCCCTAATGACCTTCTGTCCCATTCTAGGTATGTAAGTGCCCCTTTCACACCTGCTCTGTCTGGAGCCAATCCTCCCCGAGTGGCCCCGCCAAGCCAAACAGGCAAAGTACGTTCTTGTTGAGCACAGCCAAACAGGCAAAGTAGGTTCTTGTTGAGCACTTCACCGGCATTCACACACCTTCATGACAAAGCATCAGCTACCTCATTCTACTACCTGTCTGTCTCTGTGTCCCACTGACAGGTACCAGGCAGGACACTGAGGGACACAGAGATGGACGTGACCCTTGATAACCTCAGGGAGCACATGGTTTAGGGGCAGATGGGCCACAAAAACTTTCTCACTCAAGGAATGACATTATCACAGCACAGGGCAAGGTCACTGGGTGACCTAGGGCAGACCACACTTCCCAGTCTCAGTAGTCTAACCTGCTCTGCTCTGGTCTAGTTTGGTGTAGCAGGTGATAGATGACTTCCAGCTCTCATGTCACTGGCTTTTGCAGGCTGTTTCTAATCTGGCACAGAGATGACAAACTGCTTCTCCTCTCTGCACTTCAGTTTCTCACCCTGGGCAGAGTGTGGGATTTGAGGTATTGGTTTTGTTATGAAATAGTTTCATATAGTTATGAAATGACTCATAGCTGACCCTCCATCAGGTTTTCAGAGGCAGTAAATAGTGTAAGAGGAGAGTGCCCACCTTTCTCTGAAGGAGCAGCTGGTGGATTCATCCCTTGGGCTCCGAGTCCGGCTGCAGCCCGGGCCCCGGCTCCGCCCGGCGCGGCCCGCCCCCCGCGCAGCCCCGCCAGCTCCCCGCCCCGCCGCCTCGACTCGGGGGCGCGCGGCTCCGCGAACAAAAGGCGGACGCGGCGGGAGCGGCGGGGAGGGACGCAGGCTGGGAGCGATGGAGGAATCTGCGAAGCAACAGCGACCCCCTCGAGGGTCAGGCAGGCCCGGGCAGCCGCGGCCCCGGCTCTCTCCTTCGCTCGGCCGCCGCCCCCTTCTCTGATGGCCGGGGGCACGCACCCGGCGGAGGTACCCCTGTGCCCGGGATCGGGACAGGGGTGACGTGTGCGGCGGCCGGGGTGAGTCCCCGACAGAGGCCGGGGGGACCTCAGGACACCAGAGCCTCCATCCATTCGCACACCAGGCACCGCGCCCCTGCACCGAGCGTGCGCGGGTGTGCGAACTCCGCCCCCTCAACCATGCCCGGCAAGGCCAATTATCCCATTGTACAGATACGTACACTGACGCCTTGGGGGACGCGCAATTAGCCATTGTCAATTAAAGGGCTGGGAGGAAGGTGTGCGCGCTCTTTCAACCTCCGCTTCCCACCCGCAGGCGACGGGGACTTTGGAGCCCTGGGTGCCTGGCTCTGCACTCTTAGATCTTCCGTGAACCAGCGATGTTGCATCCAACCACCTTGCCTCGCGGGGTTTCTGATTTTGTATCGCTAAAAATAAAGGAGGCAAACCGTCAAGAGATGTTAGATTAGCAGGGGACTAGTGGGGCTAGCACGGACTGGGGACAGTTGTCTGGACTCTCACATGCTCTCTAGCACACAAAGCGCTCTCATGAGTTTCTTTCCTTTCAAGGTTCCTGGGTGTGTTGTTGATTTTCTCCATATGCCTGTCACCTTCTGTGTCCCTTCACTTCATTCCCTGTCACCAGCCACCAACCACCACCGGGCAGAGACAGATTCAGTCCAGCTGGACACAGTCCTCTGCTCTAAGTTAGCAGTGGGTGGTCACTCACTCTCAGCTTGGCACCTGTC